CCCCAAAACCCCAATCCCCAAAACCCCAAAACCCCAAAACCCCTTTTCAGTATTAATAAATTGATCTTTATGTGACTAGTAGTTAGGCCTGACAGAAATGGGACCTGGCCTGGCTCCAGAACCACTGTTCCTAGCACTTGTCGTGTGTAGCATGCTGTTACGAGTGGAAAACATTCCAGTGACATTGAGGTACTGCTTCCTAGAGTTTCCATTAGGAATACCGATCTTGGAAGCAGCCATTTTCATCTGGTCATAAGCCTTTGCAGTAGGCTTAAAGCTAACTTTGCTAGTGAAATTCCTTGGTGATTTCACTGCAACATTTCAAGGATGAAATGTTGGTTTAGGCACAACATTTTCATGAATGTTATTTAACAGACTTCGACACAGGCAGTTTGACCGTTTTTGTTGAAGACTTAAAGCTCTTTTTCCCTTGAGAATGGTACTGAGATGAAGGAGCTGGGATTGAGGATTTTGGTGACTTCGAATACCTATCTTCTTTAGGCTTTATCTGCTGGTTTGAAGTATACTTCATTGCTAAGGAGTCCTCAATCTTGACAAAGTTATCAGTCAGGACTGAATAGTTCGCAGGGGAGGAAGCTTTCCTCTCATTAAGTGTTTTCTTAGGCAAGGAGGCATACACATTTTTCCTCAGGTTGGGTTTGGAGTACCTCAGTTCCCCCTGGTGCTTTTCTGTAGCAATGTTTGAATCAAAATCGTCCATCTGGCTGGCCTCATTAATAGACCTGTTTGAGTAGAAGTACTTCTTTAAAGACTTCGAGGTATCGATTCTTGTATTCCTTGTATAACTATTTAGCTGTTTCTTGTAATTTAAATAATTAGACTGTTTCTTTTTGGAGCCGGCTCTGCTAGAAGCCTTCTTTTCAGACTTTCCCTGGTTCTTGTCTTTGGGTGAGATGGCCTTTTTCTTGCCTGTAGAACTCCTCCGTGCTTGGTCATTCATCGCCTTATCAATATTGGATTTTTGGATGTATTTCTCTCATGTTGATTTAATGGACATTATCTTCGCAAAAGTGTTGATGAATGAGTAGGAATATGTGTTGAATTTTTGGTATTTCTGAAGCCTATTCATGATCTCCTTCAACTTCTTGTCCTCTTTCAAAGTCAGGCCTACCAAAAAGTCATTGTATTTGAAATTCTCAATTAGGTTGGTGAGAATGGTGTTCATGTCTTGGAAGAGGTCTGAGGTAATCTCGTTTTCAACAATGCTATATGACTTGTCTCTCAAGCTTAGATCGATTGTAGCACTGGAGAACTGCTCTCTCAACTTCTTAGCTGTGCTTTCAGATTCTTGGATTTTATTCTCCAATTGCTTGGACAATGTCAATCGCTTGTTTTCTGAACTCTTCAGGTTGGAGTTGATTTGGAGAACAGCATGCTCAGCTTCCTTGAGTTTCCTTTCTAAGGAGGAGCATTTCATTGCGAGTCTGGTCTTTAACGAAAGTTCTTTATGGAGGTCATCGACTTTTTCAGTGAGTTTGGTGTTTTCAGATTCAGACTTTTTCAAAGTTGACCTCAGAGTTTTGACTTCATTTACCAACAATTTTTCTTTTTCCTTCATTCAAGATAAATTTTCCTCTAAGATGGATTGCTTTTGCATGGAATCTTCAAGCATTTTGATGATTTGATCGAGCTCCGTGGTGGAGATCATATCTTGACCGTTTGTAACCTGACCAGGACTTCTGCTATCTTCGTAAATCAATGACGAGTCTAAGTTCTGACGTCACCATTTGGTATTGAACAAACTATTTGGACTTTCCTCCATTGAATGTCAGATGACGGTATCCGACTTCGCGTGACCAGAAATTTCAGGATTTGTTTGGTTTGGCTGAGCGTTCTCCTTCTGTTGGGTCAACTCACTGCTGACGGACAAGGAGACATAGCTGATCTGGCGATGACTCTCTTCCCTCTTCTCTTGCATCTGTTTAGTACTCTCACTGCTACTTCTTGAGTGAATTATTTTTATAGAATTTCCAATATCGATTAGGTCAGACTCTGTCCTAGTGACCTTCTGCTGGGGCTTTCTTGGAGAAATGTTGAACACAATTTTGGAGTCAGGAATTTTGCAATTTTGAAGCTATATAAGTTTGGTTACAGAATTTAAGAGGATTACCTTCCTAGATGATTCCTCCATTTGTTCATTATTTTTATCATTATTATACTTGCTGATAAAACTGAGAGCGGAGATATGCCTCACAAGATCATTGTTATCTTCCATATTTTGAGGGTAGAGATTGGGGTTCCGCTTGAGGTCAATAGGCTTCAGTTCATCTTCTTGCGCCAAAGACTGGCTGATTTCAAGTGACATCTCACCAAATGTGTTCTTCTTGCTAGATTCTCTAAATACCAGAATCCTGACTCCCTTCTGGGTCATTGATGATCATTAATGTTTGGATGGAGTTCGAGCTTTGGCATTCATTTGAGGGAGACAAGTTCATGATACTATTGTAGCTGCTCATTTCAGAAATTTTATTTAAATTTATAATTTGAATGGGGTTTTGGGGTTTTGGGGTTTTGGGGTTTTGGGG